ATGTCGACACAGTATCAGACACGAGTGTACTAGAGCCTACAACAGGACCTAGTGCACCTCACCATCCACAGATACTATCTGTGGTACGTGCAGAGTCACCATCCACGCCAAGTCCTCTGCATACATTAGCACATAATGCACTCTATCCACCATCATTGATAGAGGCATCCACACTATATGAGTATACTGCAGGACATGTTTCCCCTATGGCAGGACCAGACACATACACATCAGATGTTTCAGAAGTTACATTGCCCAACCAACCTATCTATCATGACGCATTGATGACATCTCCTCTGACAGATGTTCAGATTTCACTGCCATCATATGATGTCACACAGGTTCATGTTACAAGCGTTGCTACAACTCCCGTAGTTGTACATAGGTCATAACAGCGAGCTACGACTCCATTTTTCCATCTTATTTCACTAATGCGAGTTTGAGGTGACAAATTTCAAGGTGTTAGAGGACAAGGTAGTTGAGGTAGAGGCGAAGATACTATTTCAGTCAGAAATCCGGTGTCGTGGGTGATTGATGGGGATCCTTCAAAATTAGAGGAACGGTGGTCGAAACGGCTCAGGAAGAAACCGTCTTATGGTACTTAGTGTTATCATGTTTTATCATTTTTTGAAATATATTTTCCCATGTATGTTATAGAGTAACTTTTATGTATTGTTGTTGGTTGTGTTGTGGAGTGTTTGTGGTTGTGTGGTGGGCTGTTTGTGGTGGTATAGTTAGGTGTTGGTGGTGGTAGTTGTGGTGCGTATGACATTGTGGTTGTGATTGTAGTTGTTTTGATATTGTGCATATAGAACAATTTTATTTTGGTATGACAGAGATTTAAGGGAAACTCTGTCAATTTTTTTTAAAATACAATATGTTTAAAGTCAGTATTTACAATACATACTTAATTCCAATATGTAGTTTCTATTGTTTTCAAATGTATATGTATTTTTAATATATTGTATGCATTGTTATGTGTAGCGTTGTTCTCCACTTCAATGGGTATGATAACATAAGACAATAAACGGTACATTATATTTTAGTACTGCACATTGACAGTATAGATAAACTACAACAGCACATTAGTACAAACAAACAAGTATGATTATAACAAGTGACACATATTATTACAACCCATTGAGGATAAACCAACATATGTGTAAATGGTTATTGATGAAGGAATCTTCATCATGGGATACGTTCTTCATCCGACATTTCAACGTCAAAAACACATCTTGCTTCAGTTGACAACTGTAAGCACAAACGTGCTTCGTTAACCAAACTTTCTACAGCACGATCGCCTGCAATTCAACAGAGGTTGTACCGAGATTGTCGTATTATCATACGATTGTTTTCACCTCGAATATGCCACAATGCACCTTTCAACTATTGTGATGTGTCAATAGGCATATTAATGGCAATTTGCCGTGGCCTGCTTATGTTGGAAATGCATAAATTTTCACTTAGAACTTCCCTGTCACTCAAACGATATTGTCATTTCTCCCTTATTCTAATTACTAACCTCTGTGAGAAACGTAAACGAAGATTTATAAGAGAGAAGAATTCATCCTCTAACGCCAAATGATAACTCATACTTTCAAACACCGTGAGTGGACTGTAACTCATATTTGCAATTGGTAAGTATGGGAAGAGGGCAACACACAAAATGAATTTATATTGATATTGTGATGGTAGTCGTGGTCACAGTTTTGCCAACTGTGGATAATTTTTTTTTAAATATGATGATTTGACTAAACGTGCAACAGTTTTGATTTGTCTCATCACTAAACGATGAACATCACTATTAGTGTTAAGTCGTTAGTGGTGATTGAACACAACACTGTTAGTACGTTGGTATAAGTGTTATGTCATCAGCGTCTGATTTAACATAACATTGTATCAGTGTCTAGTTGCTATCGTTATTTATTACTCCTCACTGTATGTTCTCTATAATATGTTATTACTCAGTTCAATGACTCTAATATTAAAATAATTTACGTTTTTGTTTACATACAGATACTTAACTGCAGTGTAAACCCTACGTACTATCAGTGTTGAGTCATTAGTGGTGATTTAACACAACATTGTTAGTACGTTGGTATCAATATTATGTTATCAGCATCTAATTTAACACAACACTGTATCAGTGTTTAGTCGTTATCATTGTTTAATCCTCACTACATGTTCACTGTAATATGTTACTACTCAGTTCTTCAATGACTTTAATATTAAAATAAGTTACGTTTCTGTTTACATACAGATACTTAACTGTAGTGTAAACCCTATATACCCACACCTATGTTAACAATATCAACAATTGGGTCTCTAAGCCAAACAAAAAGATGACTCATTCCCAATCAACCACTGCCATCATGAAACATTTTTTTCATTCAGTTCACCAGAACCCGATAATTACACAAATCCCAATGGAGTAACATTGTATGAAAAATTGCGTTTCTTTAAAAATGAGCCAATCAACATTCATAACCCTTTCACCAAAGTCAGACATGTGATGATTGGACCTGTAACCTTTGTTCCGCATCTAGAGTTTTATTATCACCTACCGGGACCAAGTTGGTTGAAATTTTATTTCAAGCGCTGTGAGCTTGAAATATATTGTCATTGACATAGATTATGAGTGTCATAGGCACGTTCAACTGAAATGTATGTGAAATGGTGCATGGATAACTACCATGATATCATTGCAACACTAGGCTCTTGAGAATGATCAAATGGAACGACGTCTAAATCGATTCCACCTTATTACAAAGGCAAAAATTGAACATTCACACCCTGAAGAGGCAATTAATGCAATATTTTTCAATCCATACTTGGCTTCTGACAATGAACTTTTTGATTTTGAAGAATCAATTGATGATGATCATTATGAAAACTTTCTCCCTGCTACTCTTTGCTTTCATGACACACCACTATTCTGTTGGAAATATGATTGTCATTAGAAATATTATGACTAATATATCAGTATTATGTCGTTTAAAATAAAATCTTATAGTTCTATTTCAGGAAAAGACATAAAGTCTCTTCACTTTGAATTTTTTTTTGTAATGTTTTTATCGCAAAAAAAATAAAATCTCTTTTCCCTAGGTTTAGGGTTTGTTGCTTGGGTTTGGGGGGTACGATTAGTATTCTCTTTTTGGATAATAATAGTTTCACCAGGTAGGGTTTTTTATTGTTTAGGATTTAAGGTTTTGTTTGGGTTTGGGTGGGGTGGGGTGGGGTGGGGCATGATGGGTACTCTTTTTTGGAAATTAAAAAAGGTGAACTAAATATTTTATTATTTTTGTTTAATAGGGGTGGGAATGAAATTTTCATTTTTGGGGCTATGTAGAAATAGTCTCACTCGGGTTTTTATCTTTTTTATTGTGATCATCTTGTGTAGAAATAGTCCCAAGTTGGGGTAGTTATTACTTTTTTAATGTTTGTTTTGGGATTGGGAGGGGATGGATGGGCAGACATTTGAAAGCAGATGTGTTAAATACGCTTGCACTATAAGTCGGATTTAAAGAAAATGCTTTCATTAAAAAGCGTTTTCAACTAGTCTGCTTTTTAATAAAAGCGGATGTGTTGAATCTGCTTTTAGTGGACACTACAAAACACGTTTTTGATTTAAAATCGGATTTGATGATTACAACTTCATGTGAAAGCAGATTCTACAAATCTAATTTAATGATGAATTCGTAATTGTTAATTCCGCTTTCAAATGAATTCGTATTTACTGATTTTGCTTTCAGATGAAGTTGGATTTATTGATTCCACTTTTAAAAAGTGTCAAATTGGTAATTAAGTTCAAAACTATTATACTTTGGCATTTGTTTTAAAACTGCTGTTTTGGTAATAGATTCTACCGAGCGATGCAATAAGTATTCCTTGTCTTGCCTCATTAATGCTAAGTTCATTTGAAGATTTATTTCATTTATTAAGGATTTAAAACACATAAAATTTTACATAATGACAATAGACCGTTTTAGAATCAAATCATATATTTGATTCTTAATTTATTATTTTTCTCAAGTATCACACCTAAATAATGTAAATACGAGATAGTTATAAAAAAAAAAAAAAACAAAGAAGAAGAGAGGAAAGTATGGTCTGGTTTGAAACCGAGTCGGAGCCTTGACCCTTTGCCCAAGGAATACTGCAAGGATTAGATTGGGCCGGAGGCATCAGGCTACGCTTAAAACGGCCCGCACCGACCACTCATGGGTTCGTGCTGTCTATTCGCATAAAGACGAGGGGCACAATAGTAAATTCATACTCAGCTAAATGGAGGAATTTTTTGACCCAAGGGAAAATTATACTTTAACTCTCTTAAATACGGACTTGATTTTATTTTATCCCTCTAATTATTGAAGTTTTTATACTGTCCCTCTAACAATTTGAATTATTCACATTTGCCTAAACATAAATGTCCTCAATTTTTTTTGAAGGAAATTGCCAGCATATCCAAATAATGTAAAAAAAATTACATAATTAAGGGGCTAAAATCAAATAATTTTTTGATGTGATACTAATCTCTTCATTACAATTTCGAGCCGAGTTTGAAAAGTTTGTTTTTTAATTGAACCTAAAAAATTATTCAAGTTTGGTTTATTTAGGAAACAAGCCGACCTTGAACGAGCCAAAAATAAGTCAAACTCGAGCCAAGCCTGAATATTTGCATATAAACGAGTTGAATTTTTCAAGTTTAAACTGAGTTTGTAAGGCTTATTTTCTAAATGAGTTTAAAAACTTGTTCAAATTCGAGTTCGTTTAGAAAACGAATTGAGCTTGAACGAGCCGAACTTAAATCAAGCTCAAGTAGCTCAATTTGATTAACAACCCTAATGACAAAATATAATGTGAAAAATATGAGAGTTGAACGAGTAATGTAAAAAAAAAATCATACTTAAAAGGGGTCAAATTGTGATTTGTTTCTAATAAAGAGAGTTAAGGGGAAAGGATGATCTTTTTTTTTTTGAACACGCGGAGAGGATAATCGAGAGCTTACAAAGCAAAAGAAAAGAAAAGCTGGGTCTGGGAGTCTGTGACGCGGTTCTCTCTCTTTCTCTCGACGTGGAGGTTTCCAAGGAGTCTTTCCGCCATGGAGAACAGAACCCAACCATCAGGTCGGTACAGCTCAATTTAATGTCAATTTCGAGTGAATTTTTTCGTTTGGAGGCTGTCGCTTGAGTTAGAGGTTTACCTCGTCTTAGAATTGATTTGTTTGTGGATGAGATTTAGGTGTTGTTAGTGATGTAAAAGCTATACACTCTTCTGAGTTGCTAGGAAACTCGAGCAAGGAGATAGGAATTCGGAATAATTGAGATTGTTTCTCATCAGAATGGGCGGAAAATTTAGAATTAGTTTTTTGTTTCTAATTTTAAATTGACGTACTTCCAAGAACTCAATTTCATGTTGCGAAACACAGCACATGCGTGAGAAAAAATCTAGATATTCTGGATCTCTCTTTCCCACTAACCTTTTGATTGGTGACTTGAAATTGTTTTTGATATGTTATACGTTATCTGGAGTTCTCTAGGTGGCAATTTTTGTTTGCTCGACCACCTCTGTTATGAACCTTGGCCCTGCAAACCGGCCAGGGAAGTTTGCCAAAAAGTTTATATACACATATCTAGTCTTATTTGTAACCGATGTTGGGTCGCATCATTCTACACGCGTCTGTGGACCTCGGCTACAGCGGCCCACTCCATCGACATTGACCTTGTAGCCCTTTCCTTTTGACGGCTCTACTCACCTATCACTATTCGCCTATCACAATTCAATAAGATAGCATTATGTCCATATATAATACCAACTCATCTTAATTCATACCTTTCCGTGACTCAACCACAGAGCTGCAGCTCACACTACGTTTTATCCCATACTCGATGTAGTGGTTAGCTCTGATACCAATTGTTATAAACTCATGGGTACTACTTGCCCCAAAACCTGGTTTGTATGAGAAGGGGGTCAAGAGTTTATATTTAGAGTATTATTTTTAACCGATGTGGGATTGTAACAACCTCAAATATGAGGTGGATGAATATTTTATTCAAATTGAAAGATGATGTTTCAAGAGATATCAGTGTCACTTGGCTCAACTAGTTGAGTGATTTTTTTTTTTCCCTTTTTTTGTCGCCAGATGGGAAACACATGCTTTGTGATAATATGTTTCCCTTTGGTATAGTTCGGCAGCTTGGAGAATATGCTTTTACATTTCATGGGATTTGTAATTTTGTGGTGCGTTGTTTTCTAATTTCATTGTACATCTTACCTTAAAAAATTGATGCAATCTTGTTATCATTATTTGATTTTGGTTCCTCTCCATTGCAGGTAGTAGCCCTCCACCAAAACCATGGGAACGAGCTGGATCCTCATCTGGGCCTGCTCCTTTTAAACCGCCCTCTGCTGGCAGCACAAGTGGTGTAGTGGAGGCTTCTGGAACAGCAAAACCCGGTGAAATTGTTTCTACAGCAGATAGGAGCACAACTGTAAATACAAATGCACTTGGGAGGCCTGTACCTACTAGGCCCTGGGAGCAGCAGACATACAACAACAGATATGGAGGTATCCATTGTAATTAGTTTTTAAGTATGTGTTGTTAGCTGCAAAATTGATGTTTTAAAGTTTGAATCTTTGTTTTCTTGGCCAAAACTATTCATTTTTCGCCTCATGGGCTGTCTGTTATCATGCCTAAATGTCATACACTGTGTTCTCTTGGAAATGTCCTTGCACCCCACACATCTATTTCTGATGCACGGTGTACCTTATCATTTGACCGCATTCTATGCAGGTTATGGTTCTAGCTTAAATTACAATTCTGGTTATGGATCAGGGATGTGTGGTTCATATGGTGGAGTTGGAGGGTCCTATGGTGGGGGTTTGTACGGAAATAGCATGAATAGAGGAGGCTATGGTGGACTTTACGGAGGAGGCACGTATGGTGGGGGAATGTACAATGGTGGTATTGGAGGCGCAATGGGGGGTTATGGGGTTGGCATGGGGGGACCATATGGCGATCAGGATCCAAATAATCCATTTGGTGGTACGCCATCTCCACCAGGCTTTTGGATTTCCTTCTTGCGGGTGGTAAGTCTTAAATAATTCCTTGTCCATTAGCTGTTTGATATGCCTAGCAAAAAGATTTTTGGATTATGAGTTTTCTGTTATTCGCAACTAGTTTATGTTTTTAGATCAGAGTGGAATCTGGAATTCTTGACTTGTAGGAGGGACATAAGATCCAATTGTAGTTACAGATTATCCACGTGCTGTATGTGTTTTTCCAGGTTGCTGATAATTTGTATACATGCATCCAGGAGACCCATTGGTGTGAGTGAGACATTTTGACTTTTCTATTTTGCAAAACTCATAGCTTCATTGGTATCCCTTGGCGCTCCCAAAAGGGAGGTGGAGGTTCCAAGTCTCTGTACTGAGGTTGCCCTGTTAGTCGAGGGTGGCAAAACTGACAAGTTTAAGTTACCTTGTCATGTTCACAGACTCCTTCTGATGGGTTGGTTGAGGAGCAGGCTTCACATTTTGCTGATTTTAGTTCTCTAGCACCCACTATGAGGTGAGGAAAAGAGAGAGCCAACGTGTCCTGCCCACCAGGGTGGGTGGGTGGTATTGAAATAATATATTTTTGTGCAACTTACTTGTATATGAAGGGAATACAGTCTGACACGTTTGGTCTATGTTGGTGTGTTGTCCTGGTAGCTCCCGCTGCATATAGTATGTGCATTTCCCAAGTTTCTTGTCTCTCTCTTCTTTCCTCCGTGTACATGCTATTAATTTCTATATGTATACATACAGATTGATAAAAATGTCATTTCTTCCAAAGCCCCATAAATTTCAATTATCCACTCCAGTGAATTCCAGAGCTGGTGTTTTTTATTGTTTTATAGGAATATCTGATCTTTTGTTTGTTATAATGACAGATGCAAGGTGTTGTGAATTTCTTCGGCAGGATAGCAATTTTGATAGACCAGAATACACAGGCATTTCACATGTTCATAAGTGCCCTTCTCCAGGTATGTATGTGTTTGTTACGAAGTCTCCCGATTTAATTAATTGCCAAATAACACCCTAGACTCAGCCTGTTAGTATTTGAACCTAATGATTGGATATATCATCAGATACATTTTGACCCCCAGACATCGTATTTCACATTATGACAAGTGAATGTACTATTTGCAGCTATTTGATCGCTCAGGGCTATTATATGGAGAGCTAGCTAGATTTGTGTTGAGATTGCTGGGGATTAGAACAAAGCCCAAAAAGGTTCAGCCCCCTGGATCTGATGGACTTCCGGGTCCTCATTATCCCAGTGGCAATCAGAACTACATCAAGGGACCCAAGGCTACTCCAAGTGGTGCTTGGGACAGTGTATGGGGAGATAATTCAAATAATTGATGTGACCCTTGTTCTTTTTGTCCTGTGAAGGAACTAATGAGTATTGGCCACAATCTGTATGGAGGTAAGAGCACAGATGAAACTGATGCTGCCATTGCCTGTGTAGAATGAATGGCTATTTGAGTGAAACAACAGAAATCTCTCTTTCTCACGTGGAAAAAGACTGCTATTTTAGGCTTAATATGCTGATTTTGTTAGGAAGGGGAGAAAGAATAATGTAATTTGATTTGCTGTGGGCTACTTGGTGACTAGAGTGATATTTTCTTTTTCAGCAGGGCACTGGTTGAATATACATGGATGATGACGTCCTTTTAGTCTCTCTCTCTCTCACACATTGCGCGCGCGAGCCCGCACACAGGTTGTCAAGTGATGTTGATTTCTGTTTCTTACTCATCTAAGTAGTCTTGTATGAGATTGATTTGAACCTACTTTTTGTCTTCATTCACATCCAAGCATTGTCTAGCAAATTGAGATGAAAGTGCTCGTCTTCCTCTTTTTAAAAAGTTGCCAGAATCTTATTTATGAGTGATCGTTGGAAGGTGATGGTTCTTTGTTTGCTGGGCTATGGCTGAACTTGGTCTTTTTAAGTTGTACATTGCTTGTGGGAAGATTTTGCTGATTCAAATTTCAGCCGGAATTCCAATGGAATTTTACAATGTGTTCATCAGAGAATTGTTGGTTGTGGTATTGGGGCATGGTTGGTAGTTTGGATGTTAGGATCCGGAGGTTTAGGGTAATTGTTAGTTTCCATTGGTTGAAGAAGGTGGTGGTGTGGCTGTGCCTTTGTAGAGTATTTACTGCTCTGGAGTGACATGGATGTACTGGGTGTAGTGGTAGAGATGGGTTAAGGTTGTTGTGACGAGGGTAAATAGCACCAGCAAACTGATGATGGAGACGATGGATGATAGATGCAATGATGGGCGATAACTGCTATAATTCGTCAGAAAAGGGGGCAGCCGCAAAGAAGGCCAGAGCGGGTACGTCTGGTCTGTGTGTGTGTGTGTGTGTGTGAGAGAGAGAGAGAGAGAGAGAGAGAGAGAGAGAGAGAGAGAATCAATTGTAAGACCTGAGCCAAAAAGGGGTGAAACACAAAAAAAACCCAATGAATCCCATTGCAAGCCTTTTCCTCATGGAAGGACCTAGCCAACCAAAAGATCAGATGAAGGTGAAGGTGTGAGCACAATACTACGAAAAATATCAATTTGCTCTTTTCTCTTGTGAAGAGAATCGTTTGCTAAAAACGTACTACGCAACACATAAAGCCGCCTCTTCATACTCCCCTCCCGAGGGACTGTGGAAAAGTACTTGGACTCTGAAAAGTGTCTTTAAAAATCCAAACCTTCATGTGGAAGATAGCCAATGGAGTCATTGCCACCAGAGAGAACCTATTTAAGAGAAGGATTTTCCAGTCGCCTATATGCCCTATCTGTGGAGATGCGGCTGAAACCACAGAACACTTTTTCCTCCTATGTCAGTGGATTGATAATGCGTGGCAGCTGTAAGAGGAAAAAAAAACATCATTCCAATACTTAGAATCGAAGTGCTTCAAGCGAAAGCACTCCAATACTTAATAAGTATAGATATGAAGAAATGTTCTTAGAAGGATTCAATGTACCTCTTGTCATACGTTTTTGCTGCTTTATATAGACTTTAGGGATTCTCTATGTTGGTGAGGAAGATGACAGATCTCCTTTCCAACGGGACTGTTTGTTAGCAATTACAGAAATTTTCTGATGCTTCCTTTATATCAGCTCATCTGACCTATTGACTGTGCCTAGTTGTTACAACTAAATCCCTTGATTGCAAGCAATTATATCGTTGTTCGATTTACACCATTCCTTCAAACTGTGTTAGGTCATTCTGCTCGACAATATATTCCGAACTGCAACAGCTTGGCTCGGTTCGACATAGAGTCAAAACCCCACGTGACTATTTCTATACTCACGTGACTGTGTCCATCCATCCACGTGGCATAATTTTATACCCTTTCACTTGCCTCCAAAAAACGCATGTTAGCCGTCATTCGCCTGACAATTGTTGCATGTCTCCAGGTTTATAATTTCCTGAGTTCTTGAGACATGCAATGTACTCTGTATTGTCTCTTCACATTAAATGCTCCTCCTTTGGCTTCCTCTCTTGTTTTTGCTTATTTTTTTAAAAGGAAGTATAAGATGACTCTCCCATTCCTTTTTCTCTTCAAAATTTTTTGTTTTACTTGCATTCTCGTTTTTCTTATTTATCTGCTTTTCTCTCAAATGGTTCCCTTTACGAAAGAAGGTATTTCAACTTTTAAGACCAAATACAACATTCCTGATGATATTCAGATTCAAGTAGTTGGCATCGATGAGCCATCGATTGGCACGAAGGAATCGATTCTCATCTACACAGGGGCAATTATCGAAGGTAGGGTGAGATTTCCTTTGCACCCACTGCTGTTGTGGGTACTTTCTATCATGAAGTTGTGCCCTATCCAATGGTGCCCCAACTTCTTTAGGATAGTTATGGGTGTTGCTGTCTTGAACAACCTTCTAAACATCAATCTAGGTAGCTGGGAGATCTTCTTCTGTTATATTCTAAAAGCAGTGTCATGCCCCCATCCCGATCTCCCAAGGATGAAACGTGACTAAATTTTTGATACACTCATATATAATCTGGATTACTAAAACACTAAATAATTTCTCAGGTGCAACAACACCACCCTTCACCTTAGTCATTAAGTATGATGGTAATACCTGACTCATAACCTGTACCATATATAACACATGTACCCTCTGTTTGTTTTTTTCAAGGTTATATACATATACAAAATCCCACACCCACATAACATACATCACAAAGTATGCTTGTTGAGAGTTTGTTTACAATTATACACCATTAACCTGCTATAACAATCTCTTACTCAATATAATATACAACCCAACAAATAATTATACAGACACTCAACTCATTAAAACTTAATCCATAATTAATAGACATACAACCTGAGTAATATCACACTAACTTTGTTGGACTACTCCGGACTTAATTCAATTCCACAAGATAATACCCAACCGATTGGATAGTAGACTGATCTGCAACTCCCTCGATAGTACATAAAAAAGAGAAATTATAGGGGTGTGAGCTAAACCACGCGCTAAATGAGTATACATGTTGTATATGAAATAAAAATGATCATAATACACAAAAGTAGGTAAATACTATGTAAAATACATGTATCAAATAACAACATCAATTTAATTCAAAAGAATTCACAAGTCATAATACATCCATACTACCCCTCATCGGGTTATTGATCCCACATGGATTCATGTCTTCCGAACCTCCCGGGAACACCACATTGCTAGCACACCACTGCATGCCCAGTGATTAGGCATCGATGCTCCTGTCTCAAACAGTGCGTCACATTCTACAATACACAATACACAGTATAAAATATCATTTAATCACATAAGCACATAATATATAATTCTGGAGAGATGCTATTAAATTCTATCATTTCTATCATCTCATAATAACATTTTTAAAACATATAAAGATATACACTCACCTCAAGTGTACAGATTTACAGGCCTTCAGGCTCAGCAGTGGATCCCTTCGATGTTACAGTATCTATCTCAACACCGACTATTCTACCTGTTCCACCTAACACATTTATATTACAATATCAACATGATTATCACATTGAATAATTAATCATGCACTAACGCATGCAAGATGATTCAACCCAAAGTGCCCCGATAGCTCCAGTAGCCCTAGTTACCACACTGTCTACTCACACACTGGCACATTAGCTTTAGGAATCACATTTTCTCCCCAAATCTCCAAAATCACTCACATTAATCACAATTAAGATTAAGTAGGTCAAACACATTGACCGAGGGCCCATTTTCATACATTTCAACCCCAAATCCTAAAAATCTCGCACTTCTAGTGTTTCATACATTTCGCACTGAATATTATATTCATTTTCATTCAAAATTTACATTATCACATCAAGCATCGATTAAAAATGCAGCATAAAAAATTTGGGGTCAATTGGATTAAAATTCACACATGTGATAATAACATTTATAAATCAGGGTTTTAGTGTTGCCGGTATCCATTTTCAATTTTTATCGTACGTTCTTTTAAAACAATCACACTTAAACTCACACACTCATTAAATCATACAAAATAGCCCCCCTAATTGAACCCTTAAACTCTCCATTTCACACCCAAAAAGCTCAATTTCAACCTAGCCATCTAAAGCATCCCAATATTCATTTTTCACATTTTTTTTCTCACACCCGGTTGAACACCCACTTAAATTCCTTTCTTAACAACCTTGAATTATATTTAACACACTTAAATAAACCCACACAAAATCTATTTTGAAATTAAACTAAAACAACTCACACATATACCCACTTACATAAAATTAATCACACACGCAAACACTAAAATGAACACACACACCCTTACCTTCTTCTTGTTTTCTTCTTCTTTTTCCCCACCTTCTTCTTGCCTTCTCTCACTCTCGGTCTGGCATGGAAGCTCCCCCCAAGTTTCTTTTGTTTTTTTTCCCTTTCTTCTCCCTCTCGATTTGAGCTAGAAACCCACTAAAACTTGGTTTTCTCTCTTTCTCTCCTCCTTGCTCTTGGCTTAACACACACACACACATATTTTTCTTCCCTCTCTTTTACTCTCCCTCACTCACAGTTTTAACAAACCAGAACACATACACACACTCTACACTTTAAACACACACGACACACACACACACACACACATACACTTGGCCTTTATTTAAACACACACTTTATAATGCTACACATGTAAGGATGATTCATCCTTTTTGGGTAATTATGTTTGCCTCCCCCAAGTTCTTAAGTGATTTCAAAATCGACCCATTATTATTTTCACATATGAAATTCCTAACAATGAGTCTCACTAATACATCACTAACGTGGTCCACATACTCGATGTATGCTCACATACATCATGGCTATGAAGGATTTACTTTAATTAACCTTTTAATAATTTAACATAATTATAATTTAGTCCACATAATTATGCTAATATGCATGTAGTGCATGATCAGGTCTCACAAACAGCCTGTGATAGCTATTACCTGGCGGTGAGGAAGAAGGATCGATACTTGGTAACCCACATCCCAAATTTGAATAAGGGACACGAGAATGACATTATCTTCGTTTTTGGGAACTAGGAGTACAAGGTGGGAGATACCCTTTCTTATCGATGTTCGTATGAAGAAGGCATGTTAGATATATGATCATAGTCTTCTTTAATTTTTGGCCCATTGTATTATATATATTTTACTTTCTTTTACTTTTAGGGGAGAGTGTCAAGGGAAAATTATCTGAGCGCTCAGTGAAAATGGACGACCTGAAAATATTGTGGTCCTTTAACGAGAGCCTATTTTGCTAAGCTGCCCATGTCTTCTTGGGATTTACTCATATGTATCACTCATTCATTGTTATTCTTGATCAAGCCAACGCCACGTTTGCCGAAGACCGAGATACATTGCGAGCCCAGTGCGCTGCTTCCCCTCGTTCTCAACAAAAGTTTGTTATTTCTTCTAGAAATAATAGATCAGTGAAAAGTTTTCCAAATTTTCTTTCTGCAAGTGAGCCTTCTGAAGCTCCTCCCTCGTTCATTCATATTCCTGATAATACACCTCCATTAACCACCCTGGAAATTGCTCTAACGCATTTTTTGATGACGGCCCTGCACCTATTGAGCCATAAACTAGTTTTGAAGCTCCGGTTCCTCCTCTTGAGCTCTTTTATGATGTAATTACTGTTGACCCTGTGGTTTCCTCACCACCTCGGTCAGTTGATGCAGAGCCTGAGGAGCATCTACCGAAGAAGAGACAAATGATCGAGTCTCCTCCTGCGACGAAACGGTCAATTCCTGCGTTCTGCCCTGTACTGAAAGTGAAAGGTAAAG